TTCAGCTGATTTAATGCACAACCAGTTATTATATTTGAGTACCCGAATGTTATTTCGAATGGATGGACATGCTCAGAACAAGGACCTTCTGGAAATAGTCCATGATTTAGGAAGTGCAGGATGGTTCGTAATAGAAGAGTACTTCCCTTTGCTTAAACCACTTGATCTGAGCGGACAAGTTTGAAGACTGAAAAATATAGGTGAAAGATATCTCGAACTTATGGATACCATCATCGACAACCGCCTGAAGGAAAATTCCAACTCCAAGTCGAATACTGAAGAAGACTTCTTGTACGAGCACTTTTTCACGTGTTCAAGTCGTAATACTTCTTCTGGTAGGTGACAGAGGCTGATCTTTTCCGCTCGAATGTTAGATTGCATGACGACTGTCTTCCTTCAGACATTGATAACTAGCAATGAGTCGAAAGGGTCCAGGAAATGTATCAAATTTTTAACGCTGTTTTGAGCTTTTTTTTCTTCAATCAGGACATCATGGGTGCTGGAACTGATTCTAGCTCTGATACGATTGTGTGGGCAATCACGATGTGATCGGTAAAGAAAGCTGGTTGAAGAAGCAGACCTCAACAACCTCGAGTATCTGCAGGCAGTGGTAAAGAAAACACTACGGCTGAGGCAACGAAATTATTCGACGGAGGCAACGAAAGTAGCAGGATACGATATCCGTGCCAACACCCGGGTATTGCTGAACCTTTATGCCATTGGCAGAGATACGAAGGTTTGGAAATATCCTCTGAAGTTTGATCCTTCAAGATTCTTAAACAGCCCTGTAGATATGCGAGGGCACCATTTCGAGGTTCTGCCATTCGGTGCTGGGAGGAGGAGGTGTGTGGGCATGAATTTGGCGCTCGTCTCTGTGGCATATAACATCGCACAGCTGATTCATTCGTGTACAATCTCCCTGCCCGAAGGCTTGACTCATGTGGACGTAGATGTTTAAGAGAACTTCGGGATCAGCGTGGCGAAGCAGAATCTTGTGAATCCACTCATAAAGAGGGGACTGCCTTTGGACGTCTACAGTAGGGCCGGATTGCAATTTTCTGGCGTGCAAAGAATCAATGCTCGTTCTTGTCGAGCATACAGCCTAACGCTTCACAGAAATTTTTTAGTAGAAATTAATTCTCTGAGTTATAAAGCCTTTCTTATAAAGCCAGAAGTCTACTTCCGTATAGCTTATTCCTTGATATACCAATAATGGGTCGGCTTATGGGGTCAACCGAATCAGTTATCTCTCTTTGCCATGAGTCAGGTTCTAATCACAACGCTCATGCTCTAATCATGTGAGATAAGAGATATTAAAGTGTTTCGTTTTGCTTTGGCGTATGTGAGTACACTGGGTCACTAGAGGAATATTTTGATTCCGTGTCATGTTCAAATAATCCGAATATGCTACGATGAATGATTACACAATTTGTTGAGGTTTCACCTTGGTTTTTTTCTTGTTGCCACAAGTGGTGACTCTCCTCTCTCACGATCTTTGGGATCTTAAAAGGACGACGTCATTTTCATATTATCCATTCATTCGTACCCTTGGCTTTGGGACCATTCTTTTCTGGTATTTTTAATATTATCTACGTCACTCAAAAGGTTACACCTCTGATCCTGGTCAAATTCCTCGCAGTATTTAAAGTGGCTTCCTACTGATCTTGCAGCCGGAAGTAGCCTAGATCTGGAAATTTCATCAGTCATAATATTAATGTTATGGTCTATGGACACCAAAGTTAGCATACATACTCCTATCTCTATCTCGAAAGCACGAACGTCCTCCTGTTCCAAAAAATGAAGTACCGAGTTATTTTCTTTGTAGCTTGCTTGGCTTTCTTCGCTTGGTGTTGCTTGGCGAGTACACATGAAATTTTTTGCTCACTGCAAGTTGAGGGAGACAGATCACAAATGGCTGGGAGGTCATATAGTGAGCAGTTTTGCAGTCTGAAATTTTGACACGACACAGTTGTCGATACTAGAGTTTACTGATGTCAAGGACACCTGGACTACTCGGAGGAAGTTTTTTTGTGAGACCCTGAAAGGTAGGATATGTGAGTGAGTCAGGGGATTTCTGGGTGACTCAAGAGTCGAAGAGTACGTCGAAGTTAATTCACATTGGAAGTATTCTGTGGTACAACTTGGTCTGTGTAGATTTAATGATTTTGGATTTAATTAAATCTTTTGGAAAGAAGTATAACATATTTAATAACGGATAATTTATAAATTTAGATGATTAAATTTTTTTTCAATATTACATAAAGATTACCATTGAATTATAAAATTTCCCAATTTTATATATTATAATTCTGAATATTATATTTTCTAAAAATTTCATGATTTTAAATTGCAAAATTATTTTAATTTTTTGGTTTCATGTATATTAAATTATCTTTATGGAAAAAAAATTGAGCAAAAAATCTGATTTTTGCAACCTAGCCTTAAAATATGACGTAATTTTGAATTTTTTCCTTGTATATAATATCATTTTTTCTCATTTATCTTGTTGGGGTTAATTTGGGTTTCGGTTAACCCTGGTTAGTAACCTATACTTAGTCACCTGTCGTGTAGACCCGGGGTATATAAACCCCCACTTCACTTCTGTAATCCCTCCGCATGATTTTCATACAGCTGCCCTTTGTTCTCCCGTAGCCCTACTCGGGTGAATCACGTAGCTCGCTATTTTTAACTGTCTCGTTACTATTTGTGATTTTCTTCCTTGGTGATTTCTGGAGTTACTACTGTAACTTCTCGGGAAAAACCTCATCATATCTTATACAAGTATTGAAACAAATTATTAATATCTTAGGTCGTGTTATTTAAATATGATAAATAAGCATGTAGTTTTTAATCAAATTTTATGATTTCATTTATCATGATGTTACAAGATGGTTTCACGCAATTTTACATTACATTCAGCAAAACAAGCAGTTTTGAAAAAATTGCATATTTAAAATCTTAATTTTATTTTTTTACTAGCATGTTTGAAACGTTGCAGAATTTAGAAATCTATCATCATTCCTTCCATATATTCAACAAACAAAAGATTGAAGAAAATTTTGATTATTTTTCTATTCTGTTCAAATGTGAAAACAAGTATATATAAAAGCAGACTTCTATTGGCAAGTCCCAATAATTTTGTTTTAAAATAATTTGCTTATTTACAGATAAATAAGAAAATTCAAATAATAAAAATTGAATCACTTGTTATGCTAAATTCGACTGTTTTCATTTTAATTTTTTTTCCTTAAATTATAATATAATATTATTATATTATAACTTAGAATATTTTATGAAAAAATTCGGCTATATTTTAGTATGATGAAATGTAGTGTAGTTTACTTCCCAACTTGCCCACCTGCATGTGAAGTCGCATATTTCTTCTTACTTCGTGTTGAGTAGTCTCTCGGCTATATAGTCACTCCTTCTGTGAAACGGACTCAATTCATCTATCAGATCATTAGGACCGATCTCTGGTGGAGATTCTCTTAGTTTCACAGGAGCAAATCATACCATTCTCAAGTAGATCAAGTGTTGAGAATTATATATCATCGGATTTTGACCTATTGAGATTTTCATTGCTGTTCTCTAGCATAGTTTGCACAATTTTGGCAAGTATGGCAATTCCCAACTGTCTACAAAGCCCTCAACTAACCTTATTCAGGGATGCTGACGTATGTAATTCAACGGGTAGAGAAAAGGAAATACATTTGGTAAATGTAAACTCTATTCTAAAGTTGGCTCAAATCATGTAGATATTGAATCCGTTAGCTCCTTTTACACCTTAGGTCCGGTCTACAATGCCTTTACTTCTCAATCAGAGTAGGCCTTCGCATCCACACATCCCGTCCTCATGACCTTTGTCCATATTGCTGCATACCACAACTCCTACTCTGGTTTCCACTTGTTCCCACCTTGAGGGCAGCTCTGTGCTTAGACCCCGCTTAAATCACAATCTCAACCCAAATTCCACCGAATTCTTCATCATATTATTAATTGGATGTTGCATGGAGTCTAGTTTCCTTCTTGAGAACCCGTAGTGATCACTTTGCTCGCAGCCCTTCCCCATTGAGATGGCGATCTGTGAGTCTCGTCCGATCTCCTCACTCGACAACGCATAAGAATGTGAGTAGAATTAGCACTTCTTTCAGGCAAACTCTTCTTCAGGAATACTCGTCCCACTGGCCTCCATTTCTCTACTCGCCTGAGCCACTTCCGCCTTAAACTTGCTTCATCCGAAGGGCGAAGAGCCGTAACTACGAGCTCTACTGCCGCTTTCCCGGCATTCTTATTCCGTAATTTAAAAAACTAACGCTACTTTTGCGACGATTGTGCACCATCGTTTTGTATGAAATGCACATAGTCTGATTTCAATGTATTCTCCTAATCCTAAAGTCTCCTGTTTTCTGGTCCATGTGGAGGCTTGATAGTATATGAAATCCTGTGAAGATCTTCCATTCTTGTGTTTGTAGATACTCCAGTTACTTTCAAGATAGACTAAGAAACAAAGGAAGGTTACCACACATTTAAAGCGTAACCGCAAAGTCAATGACATCAATATGTTCTCGTTGTATTCGAGCTTCACGAATGCTTTGTTGAAATCGCTGATTTTGAAATCAGTCAGACTAATTTAATCAATAAGAATGCTTGTACATATAGTGTAGTGTAATCTACAACGGTCATTTGTAACGGAAGTCTAATGGATAGCCGATAAGCTGCGTCCACTCCTTTGGACACTTATACAGTCGTCAAGTCTTCCGTAATATTTGCACTTTAAGAGTATCTTTAGGATCTAGCTTATTTTAACATGCATTCTATCAGTCTCGTGTTTCATCAACTTCCCCGCGGAATTATTAAAGATAGCTTTACCTTATGAAATAATGCAACGTCCTGTTCAATCCGGCGCTGAGAATCTTGAATTGATGGGACGTGTCATGTGAGTAAAGACACGAAAGAGCCTCAAGTGTTCAAAAGTAGGCACACTTTTACCGATCCTCTCTCAGGGAAATATTTTGAACTATTATACCCATCCACTGCATGAGGTCATCGGACCAGCCGTGACCACTTCCCATAACAGAAAGAAATCTCGTCTCTTAATGCAACATTACTGGCAAACAGCTTAGTTCAGCATCTCTTATCATACAAAGGGCCCGAATATAAAAGGGGGCCAAGTAGATGACAAAAAAAGGATGGGAAGACCCCAAACCATGAGCTAGATGTAAAGTGTGAGCTACAAAGCGAACTGGGACACCAAGTACTATAGGAAAAAGGGTGCGAAGACCTAAGAGCCGCAAGGCTAAGGCGATAGTTAATCAGGCCAGTTCACATTCTTCACATCTCCACTGTTTTTTTTCTAAACGCGGATTGTGGAAGTTGGCTTTTTCAAAATAGCCCGGTTCTGTTTCGATAATATAACTACATGTACACCCTGTGCAAAACAAGGAGAATACCACCCATGGTATTTTGAAAACGGGAAGTAGAGGGACAACGCTTCTCCAAATGCTGCTCCGAATGAAGATGACTTCCCGACCAGACGCTGGATGTATCGCCTTCACAGTAGAATCTTCGACGAGGTGACCTCGTGAAAATCATCACTCAAGATGTTTCCAACTGCAAAAGACGTATATCGTTAGTAGGACGTTTGAAAAAAAATACAAGATGACGGAAAAAGACTTAGTATAAGAAGGCATAAGCGGGCAAGATTTACTACTGAATAAACCACTAACTAGCAAGAAATGCCCCAACTACCTAACTCGACGAATTCCCGAATCAGCTCATTGAATCATACTCACTCACTGTTAGTGTCAGAAGCAAGTAGAGTGATGATGATGGATGATAACAACAGAATTCCAGAATGCAGGAACAACATGTACGTCGCAACTAACAAGGGGAAACCTGAAGAACTACCCAATGTCGAAGGACACAAAGGCTCATGTGGATATCGACCCATGTCAGGACAAATCACAACAAAAACTGAGCCACAATGATTAAGGACAAAATTAAGTAGAGACGCATATGCATTGAGGTTACTTCTCTAGAAGTGAACAAATTATAAACATATGAAAGCTAAGGAGGTAAATGTAAGATAAGAATTGTGTGCGAAAAGAAGATGGTCAAAAACTCAAAAGCAGAATCCGACTTGGGTTACGAAATGCACTATAGGGGGGAGATTGATCTTAAAATTTCTGTCACAATGAGCTATAACAAGAAAGCACGTACCAGAAAAAAAAAACTTCTACTGTAGATTTCTGCAGATTTGGATTTAAACGAGGTCTTCTAACTTTGGTGAAAAAACTAGATCGACCCAAGTGACTTCAACGTTCCCCGCGAGAAGGCAGAACAGTGCATATGTGCAGAACGACCAAATGAACGTACCTTAACTTCCTTCAGAACTGGTTGTGTGCGTAACGCCCTCTCTTCAACGGGAGCAATTATGGGTGGCAGTTCATCTTGCTCACTATTCCCACTATAATCATTATGTGGATATCTGGTCAACCTAACCTCCGGAAATTGACTAAAGTAGGCCCGTACTGCAACCAGCAATATAAATGCTGAACCCATCAAACGTACACAAATAGTCAGGGGGATCGCACTAGTTAAAATCTTGAACAAGTCGTTCAAGAATAAATTTTTCACTCAAATAACTTCAGCATTGAAGATGACTTCTGCATTCACATGTTTGTTTTCGGTGTCTCCACATAAAGACTTGATAAGGTTTTGGAGTATACCCAACCGGGCGAAACTCCAAAGTGAAATCCAGTAACCAAGTTGAGCTAGCACCCACAGCATTGCTGCAACCTGAGATAAGCAACTGGATAAGAAAGACGTGTACACGTGTTTGGATGCACAGCTGAACCTTCCAAGCAAATAAGGAAAAAAAAATAGTCTCTCTTTCTGCTGAGATTTGTAATAACTCAGAAAGAGGTGCCAATGAAAGAAATCAAATAAAGCTGGCTCGGGATCTAGCTTCATAAGACGCACCTTTAAAGTTGTAAAAGGGTCCCCACAGAATAGCTGTCCGCACTTGCAGATGACCAAGTTCAGAGCGGGTAAAACAACTCTTACGGAATCTAAAGCCTCTGTATCACTCAGCTCCCAGTTGACACCATTTCCTACTTGTCCACTTAAGGTTTCAAGAAAAGCAACTACGAGATGTTAATTGGAGATTTAATCACGTCAAAGTCATGACAAGAGTAAGCTTGCGTTGATGAAGAACAAAATGATCACAATCAACATTTAGCTCATGAGCTGAGATGAGAAGTAGCTGTACCCGCCTAAGAAGCTCCGATGACAATATATTCCGGCTAGATACAATAGTGCCAGGTAGGAAGTGAAAGTCAGTTCTCTGCAACAACAAGCAGTAAATTAGTATCTGTTCACGAATGTAAAGACGCACGAATGTAACGCACGCACTTTAGAACGAACCTTGTGGCCAGATTCAGCCCATGGATGAAAGACTCACCCAAAACTTGGGTTCTTCACGTAAGATGTTGATAGGATACCAAAACAGCCGGCTCCAAAATATAACGTCTTCCTAGGAATATCTTTCCACATAATGACATCTCCTGCATTGCAATGATACTTAGTTCGAATGAGGTCGTTTGAAGCTGACAGAAAGTGAGGAATATTCGGGACAGCATATTACGAGTCAGATCAAGCAGTTTCCATCAAGTCGATGGAAACTCCTTGAAATATCTGAAGAAAAAAACATGATGTCATCTCTTGCTTCGGCTTCTCCTTCGCCTGCAACCTCTACAGTGTCTTCCATGGTTCGGTATTTTCCATGACGGTCCTCACCGGTTGGAAACTCTCAGCCTGGTTCCCTAAAATTTACAATCAATAGTGTCAGAAGCACAATAAAAAGTTCCCTACACGCATCTTTGAAGAGACCTTAAGTTTTTTAGGTGGAGACAGCTTCATTTATCACACAATAGGAGCGTAAGCCAAAAAACTTCGATAAGAAAAGAGCTGATAAATAATTGAAATCTCTCTTCTCTTCTCTTTCTCGAAAATGTGATGAATATCCGCGAAAGGAAGTTGTATTCCATGTCTTTCAACGTCTTGTTGGAGAGATAATAACTCTGACGCAAGCTCCTGTACAACTCGGAACGGAAGCGGAGAAGCGGATACGCTATACTTACTTACTCTTAGCAAAAAAGTTCATTGAGTGTTCATATAGAATCAACCTTTCAATTCTCTGACACAACGCCAGCATCAATACAGAAGTGATATACAATTTTGACTTCAACCTGTCAAGGCCCTACAAAGTGTAGTCCTCTTACCTCGTATTCTTTAGTGCAGGTCTTTTCAGCAACGCTTTCTACCAAATTTTTTGTGTATTCGATAACCTGCAAACAGAACTATGAAGGTGAGCATGACGTATCAAAGCAGCATATTCCAAGGGCGACTAAACCCATTCCGATTCATTAATTATCTACTAACCTAGCAGTTGCTTACTAACCTTGAATCATTCTTACAGCAGGTGGCAAATTGCATTTGGACCACGCTCATGCAATCACGGTTTTTCTCGTCGGCCAGATTCTCCAATTCCTCGGGAGCTTTGCCTTGCATACCGCCATCAGCTAATGCCTGCCTCTCTATGTGGCTAAAGTTGACGTATTTTTGGCCGAGGAATAGGTCCCCAATACGTGGTGCTGTCTGCACTCCACCGTGAAGATGTTTAACAACTCTTCGAGAGATCTAGTAACCCGAATCTGAACCTGTCCAACTGTGAAGTATTGAACAAAGCCCACCAAGAAATGTGGAATGGTAATATCTTACTACATAATCTTTTATTTCATGTTAGAGATCACAGTCTTACCTTCCGTCTTCCAGTGCTCTTCCGCTTGAGACCACATCCCACATTGGGCATGCAACCATGATCTAGCTTTTTGTGGGCAGTTGTATACATTATACACTTTTTCCTCTCTTCTTTCCCAGAACTCGATGAGAATTTGATCCTGGCTTTGGCAGCTCCTTTTCCTTTCGTGATTCCTCCACATTCCCTCCACCACCGCCTTTGTTCACATTCATGTATTTCGCAGATCGCCTCTCCAGCAAAGATCGGGCAGTTTCTACCGTATCGAGACACCTCAAGCAAAATTGCTGCAACCACATCAATCAATGTGAAGTAATCATAATAATTCACGACATTAAGAAAAAACAGGATTTTTCTAGAAGATTAAGAATATCACCATAGCTTTGAAAGCGAAATTAGTACCATAAGAAGGCCACCAACTGCTGCTACCTGTGCAAGAAACATCAACCAGAGAAGTAATGCGCAAACCAAAAGCAGTGAACTAACTGCTTCGATGCGAAATAGCTGAAACGATAAAACAATAGCCACAACAAGACCGAGTGTTAGTGACCACAGATGGCGAATTTTCTGAAAAAAGAACATCTCGTCAGTAGAAGAGGTTACAGAAGGGAGATGGCAAGGGGAATTAGCAAGGAGCGATGCTGCGCAAACTTGTTTCCGATCGTCGCGAATGCTGGGCGAGGGCAAAACAAAACGTGCCGTAAACGAACATTGTTGAAGCTGGAAGAATTGTATCAGGTTACTGACATTCCTTGGCAACCGAGCTGTCAGCCGCCGATCGTCCTGTAGAAATGAGGACGGAGATGATTTAAAGAAGCGGATTAGTTCATTGACAGTTGTTGGCGATGTAGTGCTACTCATCTCGAGGGAAAACTGTGATACCTGCACAGATTTCACACAGTGATTAACATTGCTATTCATGTCAGTAATGCTCAAACGATAAGAAGGTATCTTGTGATGAAAAACCTCTCTAGGTTTAGTGCAAAATACATACAAAATAAATCTAAAACACAGAATCATGTTTATGAAGTAATAAAGTAAAATCATGACATCCATGACTAGGAATTAGAATGAAACAGGTATTGCAAAAAGATTAACTCGAAATGAACAAAATAAAGTTGCAGTTAGTATATCGATCTCAGTGAATGTATTGATTGCAGTGACAGTAGATGTGAGCGGAATGAATGTATTGATGGCAATGACAGCAGATGTGAGCGGAAAAGTACTTTCAAAAAAGTAAATAAATTATGTCGATGTTACTTTTTATATTGAAAAATTTTAGAAGGTTGCAACAACAACTAAGTAACGATCATTTCATCAACATTTTCGTTAAACTATCGTTATGGTTATCGTTAAAAATTGAATTATGAAAGTATGCTGTGGTTGCCGTTGCCATTCTTATTAAGCAGAACTTCTGATAAATATGGTGCAGTCGGAATGAAAGCCCAGCCGAAGAAAGAGCTGCACATGAGAGGAAACTGCGGTAATGATTGGGATTCAACATTCGTCTTCAAGTAAAATTGCTTTTCCATCTCCGGCGCAAACCTTCTCCCATGTATATATTCACTTGGAACGTGTACCTCAAAAGTATATTCCAGTATAGTCAAGACGGCTTATGGGACTATAGAGGTCTCTCTGCGAAAATGCCAACGACAGCAGGACGTTCAGAGTTGACGATCGTCAAGAGGAATCACTCCACGCTTCAGGAAAAATACATAAAATAATAACATCGGGTGCACAGACATATTACTTCCTTTCTGATCAATCGCACCTGGTTCTGCTCTCATCCTCTCTTTCTTTCTTTGGTATATGAAGGTTCTTCACTACAATATTCACGCGCGACCACTTCCAGCTCCGAAGCACGCATATCAGTGCACCGATCATCTGCAACAGATCCTGTGCAGAACTGTAAGTTTTAAAATATCCAAACCAGGTCATCAGATCAGAGGTCAGGTAATCTGGCACTTCGTGAGACCCTCTACAACAGAATCTGTAGATTATATGTGCTACTTATGACCAGTTCAACATCCGGTCATTTGTTTTGAGAGCTCGGCTCATACCTAAGATATTTTATCGTTATTGCGGGATTAGCATGGTCCTTGGTATGTTTGACGCCTTCAATGACGTTTGATCCATCACATGGCATGTCTTCAGTTTTTCATACCGTTTTGTGTCAACTCTTCATCACTAGATCAAAGAGTCAATAGAATGCAGCTTTGAAGAGAAATCGATGTAAATGGAGCTGCATCAGAGTTCCATTCATGAAGCTAGGCATTCTCTAACTCTACTATAAATGTGAAGATTATCGAAGATTGTTCTTGCTCTTACCAACGATTTGAAGAAGATTATTCATGTGGAGTTTTAACTTTTACATATTTTACACTGATCCCCTTCGAGATCTTGTGAGTGATGTCATTTGCAGGGTCACGACGAGAAACCAGAATCTACCTACGGGTACTTATTTCTCTTAGTATAGGATATATTCATGGGATGTGGAGTCTAACCATGTGATCTGTAGTTCGGGTATTCAGGCATGGATCCACTTTTGCACCTTAAAATGTATCCTCGCTTCTGGTTTGAAGGACATCAGAGCGTTAATAATAGGGAAGCCGGAGGTAGAGTGATGAGCTTCAACGGCCTTAGTCAAGGGACATCTACGAATCAACAGTTTTCATTTGCCCCTTCGAACTACTGTACTGTCATAGATTGAAGAAATGTGGACAAAATTGCAATAAATTGGTCAACCTTTTGACCACTTCACAATAGCACAATTTGACTAGATAAGATACGGCGTGATTGGCGATTGACTCAAGGAATGATTTCATACACCTCACGATGAAAACCGACATCTATGTTTGATGTAGCAGACTCCCTGTCAGTATCCAGCAGGATCTGACTCTGACTCTGCCTCCATCTTCCCGTCTACCTCGAGCTTTTTGGAATTCTACATCTTCTAATCTCCTGTCATCTGGCTTGTGCACAATGCGGAGAGAAATTTACGGCCACAGATACTCCGCATATCAAATTCCAGTTTCTCTCACAGCATGCTTATTCAACAGAATGTCACAGTTACGGAGATCATCATTTTGAACAATCAGGACGAAAGCGCAGACGAAGACGCAGCTAAACATGGAGAAAAAAAAACTGTGTTAAAAGATTGGGTTCGATCTTCTTCTTGAAGTCGAAGGCTTTCTCTTCTCGCTTCTCTTCTTCTCTTAAAACTTTACTAAGAACGTCTACCTCAACAGAGTAATCCACCAGCATCACTACGGCTGATGCCACTTCAGAGGACTCTCTGCTGAATGAAAAGGATTGCAGAAGGACGTTTACACCTGAAGATCGTTAAAAAGAGCAATGCATTCTTGAGGGAAAAAATAAAGTCGAAACTCTCCAGCCTTCATTTACTGCTCTCAGGCCTAAATATCGAATCCAAATATCTGTTCCCTCGTGTGTGATCAAACGTGTCTGGTCTGCTCTCAATCTCTCTTCCTTTACACATGAAACTTCTTTACAAGTTTCTCGTGCTATCACTCCCAGATCTGAAGCATGCTAATGAGAGACGAAGGTATCCTTCACTCCGAACTATTTGCTATCTATAAAATTCTAGGCAGTAGGAATCATCTTCCATTGTGATACTATGGGGGCTACCCCGATATTACTTGAATTCTTCCATGTGCGGCTTTATTGGTTCTTCCTATCCTTTGGATGATCCGGCATCTTTCAACAGTCCACAACACAAGATCATTTGCTTCCACCTCACTTTTAAATGTGAGGCCTAGTATTTCGATCCTTGTGGCGTTGACTAGTGCTCAAGAAGAAAAAATGAAACGTACATCTTGCATAAATCTCCATATCCAGATCGTGGAGTCATGCAAGATTTTACACTGCCAATTTGATTCTTCATCTTCCTCAAGCAAGGTTGAGAGTCGAGTGGTGCCAACGAAACTTACTTGGGATTGTTTCAAGTATCCCAAACCACCCTTCAGACCATGTACTAAGTTAATGCAAGGTGCGGAGCATTTCTTGAGCAAACCAGTCTAATATCCATACTTCACGTAATAAGTCAAGTTCCAGTTTTTGAGTGGAACACTGTAGAGTCCATACTTTGGGGGATAAGTTCAGCTCCAGATCTAATAATTAAGAGGTGAGCTGTAGCCTGAGACCCATCATTACAAACAACAGGATTTTTTCGGTAGAAATCAATGATCGGTCTGTCAGCTTGTGCTTCTTCCTGAGTTTCCTCAGCCTCGCCATTTTCTCTTGTTCTTCTACCAAAGCCAACTCCCGCTCATCTTCCAACCTCGCCTCTCGAGCTCTGCATCATCAGAACGACTCGATTGGCTATCCTACCATTCATGCTAGTGATTTCCACATAATCAAATCATATCGACAACGCATTATGAAACAGAACGCCAGATGAGCAGCCACAGATGATGCAAATAGTGCAGGAGATAACGAGGATATGAGAAGACCAACGCTCTTCCTCTCGACAAGGTCGAAATTGGACCTCCATCGCCCGGTCCTCCATGTCATCTTCTCCACTTGGATCGTCCCTGATACAAGGACCACAGCATGAACACTGAACTATCGACATCCGGTTCTGAGATACTACACGACCTACCCAGCCAATCAATTTCCACAATTTTAATAAGACAGATGATATATGGTAAATAAATCAAGCCTATGGAACTCAAAGGATCAAAAGCTAAAAAAAACATTAGAAGTCAAACTTTCACTAACTAGTAAAAATAACTCAAAAACCTATCTTTAGCTAATGTCTAATACACAAAAACGATGTCCAATGATATTCTTAATATAAAAACCTAAAGTAAAGGCACTAGCTGTGATAACAACATAACAATTCTCCTCAACTATATTATGGGTTAGTCTCATCTCTTCATAACTGATACATGTAACAAACACATGCTCTTTATACTCGATATGTGCTTCTTCACGTAACCTACAAATACATTTTTCATATCAATATTAAATCATTGTACTTCCTTAATCCCAAACCTATGAAATCCTATTTTATGTCGTGCAATAATATAGCGTAGGAAGGTGAAGATCCTTGCAAATAGTTATTCTTGTTTATGGTACACAATCATAGTATTAACATGAAGTTCATAAAATTTCATTTTGATTATTATTGACCTTTAAATAATGTTGAAAAATTATTCTTATAGATGCTCACAAAGTACCATCGGTTGCAATCTCCAAATTTTTTTGCTACGTTTCACTTTGAAGATCAAGTCATAACATTCGATAATCATCTATGAAACATGTGGCTTGCAGAATTTGAGTAAAAAGGCAAAAAGCATAAAAAATTCTCTTCCTTATGATGTAAGTGATGATCAAATGAAGAGCTTTAGCCTTTAGAGTAACACAACTTGTTTTTGAAAAAAAAAATAACATATGAAATTTGGATTTTTACACTAAAGTTTTTTTGTGGAAAGATTTTTTGCATCCTCTCCATGTGCTCCTGTAATAACCCACTAAAGGCTAAAACTGCAATATAGTGGTAGAAAGGTCGAACCCACAGGGACAGAGGAACACACAGGGTACAAAGTGTCACGTTTTAACAGACTATTGATGAGTTTGAATTCTCAGGCGACTGTCACTCCCAGAAATACTGCAAGTGTCCACTCGGAGCGCACTCGGAGGTCGCACAGTGCAGCGTAACACACACACACACACACACACCTGAAACTACAGAAACACAACCCAGAGATCCGTTAGGACCTCTACTCAAGATTTCAGGGGGGGGGAAAGTCTCTCGCGAGCACACTCGGCGAAGCTGCGGGTAGTGACTTCCAACTCCGGCTTTTACAACACTTCCACTAGCTTGCTGCTAGTGTAGGAAACCCGGTTTGGACTGCCTACTTCGGATCGAAGTCACTCATACGCGGCGAACAACACTCTCAACTCACAAAACGCGCGGAGAACACAGGTCCGCACTGAAGGACTCACTGAGAAACATTCCAGTAACACAACAACAGTCTATTGAAGAGTTTGAATTCTCAGGCACTTGTCATTCCCAGAAATACTACAGGGGTTACCCTCAAGGCACCTGCTGCAGCGTAACCTGAATTTACAACCAAGGCTTACACGAAGTAGCAAAACTTCACTTTGGCATTCAGGGGAAAAATCCCAAAGGAGTACAATCAGAAAGAAACACTCGAAGGTGTAGGGGCGAAACTGTTCAAGTATCTAACTAGTCACTGGCTCTGAGCATCGGCAGTCACCCGCAGGTGCAGTTCCGAACTACTCAAGTCTCTAACCAATGTACTAGCTCTGAACATTCGGCCGAAGGCCTTCAGCTACAAAATGCGGAACGCTAAGTTGTAACTCCTCATGCGTGGTGGCAGAACTCAAGGACACAAACACGCAAAGGAAATGGACTCCTGATCTATACTTCTGATGGGAAAGAACCCCAGGCAAAACGCCTGCTAATATTTTATACCTACTAAGTCCTACCTAGCACTACACTGCACTACGCTACACGCCTGCGCGGAACCACGCTACACTACACTCCGCGGAACCTGTGCTACGTCTCCTGCGCGGCGGACTGCCGCGCACTAACTCCCTACCCTGCCAATCTTCCGCTCGACTGCGCAGTCCCAATCGTTGCAACGCCGCGGACACCTCCACTTCGAGGGCGGACATGGTATCCTGCGCCTTCGACAGAAACGCATCGAGCTTCTTTGCTACCTTCCGCCGACTCCTACTGTCGCCTGACAACAACCCGGCTGCGCGAAGTTCAAACTCACGCAGTGTGAGTTTCTCCTGCGCCTTCACTTCCCAGTGGGCGTAGCCCTTGAGACAGTGGGCGACACGCCTCGCCGTCTCCACCTTCGTGCGATCTGCCTCCTTCCTGCGATCCTCTTCAATTATCACTAATTGCGATTCGGCCTCAGCACGTTGCGCTCTCAATTCGCCACACTCTGACTGTAACCTGCGGATTAACTCCTCATCCGCCTGCCGTGCGAGCTGACATTGTTCCAACAACCGCGTCTGTCGCACGAGCTCCTCTGACAAAATCCGATTCTGGGCCTGCTCAGAAATTAGTGCTTCCTTGACCTTCACCTGCTCCTTGGTGAGCTCGTCCAGTTTCTCATCCCTCACCTTCTCGGAGTACTTGTAGAATTTCTGATTAAGTTTATACTGACCCCACAAGCATGCATGCTTCTCCTTCAATTCCCTCAACTCCTGGTCCACTCTAGCTAATAGCTTGCTGGTGTGGACTTTAGTGCGAGTCCGCCTGCGCACTAACTCGATGTAAGATCCCGGCTGAAGTGGGTCGGCGTATTTATCGACCTTGCGATCCAAGTACCTCAGCAACGGAATCACCTGCTCAGAGAGCGCCGCCGCCGGCGCTCCAACAATTTCCTCCTCCTCCTCCTCGGTGTCCTCTGCTCCTGACATTTCTTCGGTGGAGCCTCCGTCGTCACCATCCGAGTGGAGAATTTCAGTCGTCATTGATTGCGTCGGCGACTGACCCGAGGGGGGCTGCACGTCGTCGACGTGTGCTGCCTGCGAAGGCACGGCTGCAGCCGCGCTGCTCTTCGCCAAAATGTCTAAGGCGGTAGGCGAATGTGCCCGTGCGGCATCCCCGCCGCTCGCTTGTTGGTCGTCTATCGTGTCCTCTCTGCCGCCGACGCCCGCCGCCGAAGGCGATCGAGCGGAGGGTGGCTGCGCGGGGTTTGATTGCGCATCGCGCATCGAAATTTCATCCCGCGGACAGTCACTCCGCTCGTCCGTCTGTTGCTGCTCCCTTGATCGGTTCGCGGGGGCTGTGCTTGGCCTGTGCGCAGGCGCAAATGCCGGCGCCTTGTCCGCCGCAGGCGTAGCGCCGAAGGCGTCTATCGCCAAAGGCGACATAGCCGGGGGCCGCTCGCCTGCTGTCCCTTGGCCCATAGGCCCTACCGCCGAAGGCGCATCTATCGGCGGACTACCCGCCGATGGTGCGGCCTCCGCACGCTCCCTGCTCGTATCTCCTCGGCTCGAAGGCCCTGGCGCCGAAGGCGCAAATTGCGGCGCGTGGTGCGCCGGAGGGTCTGGCCCCGAGGGCCGGTGTCTCGTAGGCGGCTCTTCCGCCGGCTCCTTCCCCTTCCTACGTTGGAGCGGGGGTGATTCCTGCCTGTGCACTGGCGGCACGTGTGGAGGCGACCTGTGCACAGGCGGACTGCTCCTTCCCACGCGTAAGCGTAGATCTACGTCCACTTGTGATCGCCTGTCCGCGGAGGCTCGTCCGTCCGCGGAGTCTCGTCTGTGCGCAAACGGAACACCTGTCCGCAACGCACGTGGTAACTCCGGAGGCCCTTGGCCCGTAGGCGGCCTCTCGCCCGTCGAGGCTGCAGCGTGGTCCGTTGCTCCTGTGGTCGTCCGCGCTTCCTCATGCTTCTCTGGCGACGCACTTCCTTTCTCCGTCGCAATCGTCGCCGTGTCCGCACTGTCGGCTGGTAACACCAGTCTGCGTGCCTTCTGCTTCGGCCGGCTGTATGACTCGTACAACGGCCGCGGTCGAATGGGAGCAGAGGGTTCTTGATGCTGCTCCTCTTCGGACTCTTCTCTCCATCGCCGCTTCCGCGGCACTCGCGCTGCAGGAGTGTTTCTCCCTTCGTCCCTCCGCCTTGATGGGGTAGAAGTCGGTGACTCCTCTGCATCAGTGTCGACCTCATTCTCCCGCACATACTTCCCGGGATGGTCGACGGACAACGGCGGAAAATGCTCAAGCTCCGCCGCTGTCAAACAATTCCGCTGTCGATAAAAATTGATGAGGAAAGGAGAGATGGTTTAGAGTTCCCCCTTTCTCCTCAAAAGCGTGCTGTCGCATCACCCTGTGCAGGATGCTCGCCCAGTGAATTGGAGTTCCCTCGATGACGCACTCCACAAAAGAGACCTGCCACAATGTGATGTAGCAGGCGCGGTGTGGCTGCAGTAATTGCATCAGCGCCGCGGACAAAGTCCGGCGAAATCGATCCTTGTAATCACGGGTCCTGTACCCATTCTTGGTAGACCTCCCGGTCTTGAACAGCTCCACAAATTGCGCCTCTTCCTGCTTGGTCACCTTGATGCTCTCACTGTCGAAGAGGAGATGCCCTGGCATGCCGGCACATCTTCCCAATGCCTGCGCCCAATCTTGGACTGTCCACCGATCAACATGCGGACGCAATCCGCGCGAGGGTGGTCCCTGTGGCTCTAGCCACTCGCGCACCATATTCGCACAGATGTAGTTCCATCCCCATAGCAAGAAATCGAGCTTTCTTGCTATTAAGCGCTCCTCGAAAGCGCGCAGCCCGTTCTGTGGTAGGCGAAGTGGCACCATCCGCAATCTGCCCGGTCTCGTCATTGCGTTCCTGGAGTTCGCTCGCCCGCTCATTCTACTTCCGCACCGCCCGAGCTCCTCTCTCTCTCGGCAAACTCTAATCGCCCTCAATTCCAAATCCCGCGCACTCACTTCTCCCTCAATCACCAAGAAATCCCCTGTGCGGCGACGTCGAGAATGTTTAGCAGCCAGCAGATGGATGCGCGCAGCGCGCACAAGAGATTGGAATCGCGAATTCAAGAATGGGACGCTCTCCGCCGCCCGGTCGAAGGTCATGGTCGGCTCTTGCTCGTGGA